CCATAGCAGGAGACAACTAAGAGACCATGAGATAAGGAGAGAAAATGTTCTTATGTCACCTCTAGAGGGCGCCACCTATAGCCTTCTCTCTCTCAACAAGTCACATATTTTGATTATAATTTTGTGGTCATGGCAGGGTATTCTTGGTTTCATAGTACAGTTATCTTTTAAATGTGTTAAAGGGATACATCAGTATATGTTTAGGTAATCTGCTTAATATAAAAATATCTTTTCAGCATGTGGCAATATTTTAAAAATGTTATATGTATAAATATACATCTGTGCATGGGGGCAGCCATATTTGCCCTTTATACATGTGCAGGATCCACTTTTTGATTTATAGTGCTAAAGAATAGTTATGCCTTTTTTTCCATAGATGGTAGAGATTGTGTAATCGTGCTGGGAAAATCTAACCGCCCTTGGGTCACACGCTCATTAGACTGCCTGAGAGCTAAACTAAACAAGTTTGGCTTGATTCAGCTGCATTTACAAGTATTTTTAGCAGAGAGAGGCTGTGCAGGGTGCAGGAAACTAACTTATTTTATAAGCTGTCCGACTGATTGGTTCCTCTGTAGGCAGCCACCCTAAAACGTAAGATCTGCACCCAATCTAGATGAAAGCATATAGTCATGATGGGGCTACCCTAGGGTGAAAAGGTCCTTATCCCACATATACATTTTCTATATAGCTTTGCTCATTTAGGGAAGGAAAGGAAGTCAATGACAACATCTGCATCATCCCTCTCTGTTAGCGGAGTTTCAAGAAGCATAGTGACAGGTCCTGGTACATTCAAGAATGGGCAGAATGGATATTTATAAGCCAAGTTGTTGTTTTCTGTTTGTCTTTTACACACAAGATAAATTAGAGAGCAGATATCAGTATCAGCTTTGTGACTGTAGTCTATACACACACACACACACACACACACACACACACACACACACACACCTGTTACTCTCTCTATTTATTTGTCCCATGGTTTTATTAAGAAACAAATAAAACACATTGAATAACTGAATGCATTCATTGAGACAAAAATAGAGCCATAAAAATAAGTTAAAAACCACCAGTATTTGCTTCTTTAGTGTGCCTATAGTTGGCATAATTAAACAGAAGTCAAACAGCAAAGAGTTTAGATAAATAATATTTTCTGAGGCTTGCTAATTTGAGCATTAGTTATGTTACATGTGCTTGCTGCGAAGTTACAAATGTTTCAGCATTCATGTATATCTTGTACACTGAATGCTCTTTTTAAAGGACCATTAAGCCTAAAATACAAGTTTCTTAAATCATTAGGTATTCAAGATTTTATAAATATCGCAAAACTTCAAGTAAGTATACATGTGTAAAAATGTAACTGCCTGACATTGTAACATTGCCTTTATTGTTCTAAAGTATTCATTATTTTTGTCTTCGCAGTGACCATATTCTTTTAAGGCGGTGTCTCCCAAACTAGTCCTCACATCCCACTTAAGGGTGAGGTTTTTAGCTCTAGTCCCACATTTGCAAACACTAGCAAGCATGTTAATTGCCATGACCAATTAACTCAGCTCTGTTGGGAATTCGGAAAAACATGGTGGTCCTTGAGGCCTATAGATTTGGAAGACTATCTATGGGATTATTGGACAGGAAGTTGGCTATGAACTGTATATAAACATTTCTCCCACAAAACCACCTTTGTCTCTAATGTGTATTATTTTGATAATTTCCTAAAACTTGTACGTACCTTAAAAAAAGGGACAATCTCTATTTTATAAATCATTTTGTAATTTATGTTTACCGCCTCTTTAAAATGTTACTATTATGCTATGCTTTACTATATTTGCAACAGTTTTAAAGTATCAGTTTCATTAAAATCACCATGAATATATGGTTAACTGATAAATGTTTGGACATCGGCTTGGCGCCCATTTGATGTAGGTGACACTTCCAAAAAGATATCCTAGTTGCAATAGTACATACTTATAGGACATACGCAGTTATATTAGAGCTTTCATCATTATTGCTGTAAGGACTGGTGAATTATTTCAAGACTGTACATAAGATGGCATCATTTCTTTTTTGAGTAAAAAAAAAAAAACACCATTCTCCAGATTTTTTTTCTTTTTTTTTATCAAACAAGTAAAACTACAGATCTGAACACAGTTAAATGGCCGTTAATACATATAAATGAGTATCAAGACACTTAAACCATTTACTGAATGTCTATCTAAAACAATTCTCAGCACTGATATTAAAGTTACATTTTGGTATTTGTGAATTCTGTTGTATTAGATTATCTGATCATTGTGATGTGGGTAACAAAACACTGGTGAGTATTTGAGTATTTGGGTATCTTCTGAAAAGGCTAAAATGTTCTGTGTTAAAACATATTTTATAGGAAGACATTTTTTTAAATAACATGGTGCAAATAGCACAGGAATTATTGAGTCCCACAGGCATTAGAAAATTGAAGGTTTGGTCTCTGCTTTGTGGATGTCGCATAGATCCAAGCATAGAACAGCAGAATGGCTTTCTGCCGCTGGCAACCATTCCCAACTTTTTAAAAATGTTTTTGCATTTTCATATCGTGTATTCATATGTCATGTTTATCATAGAGATGGTAAGTAGCAGCGTGAATGAGTATAAGAGGAGTTTGTTGTCTCTCCTAAGGTTCATACCTCAAACCCAATATTTATCCAGGTCATTGCAGACCACTATATACAGGAACAACAAGGTATGACATAGGTAGCAACCTATAAGGATATTCAGTATCAAATTTTCTGGCTAAAAACATGTTGGATCTTAAAAGTTTGTTTCACCCAAAAGCTAAGCTTTGGCTTTAGGTAGATGTCCAGTGGTTGAGTCATCCATTGTTTTTTTATATGTGTTGCTGACTGAAGCACTCTTGCCCCTACCCCCATTTCGTTTCACACGCCCTGATGGGTGCATCAGTCTCACTGAGACCCTTAACTTCAATATGCTAAGTGCATTTTTTTTAGCCTAAGCAGTCTGTGAACAGGATAATCTTTGTGGGCATTAATGGAGAATTATGAGGCGAGTGATTTTCACTCAGCCTCATAATCTGAGCCGACCTGTGACAATGAAACTGTCACAGGTCGGCTCAGTAGATCGGAAAGTGAGCGAACAGATACCGTCGCTCGCTCACTTCTTGATCTATCCGTGCAGAGAGCCATGACTGTCATTCACGGCGCCCTGCAGGGATTCCCTCCCTCCCCTGTCCGATCCTCCAGTGCTGACTGGTGGAACGGACAGGGGGAGGGGGCGGGTACAGCTGGCTCTCGATAGGCAGAGCCAGCTGTCGCTCACGCAGCTGGGTGGATCCAGACAGAATTGTCGGGATCCGTTCCGGCTGCGGCATCTCAGTATACCGCGAGCTGTAGCTTACGGTATACTGAGCTTAGGGTGACGAGAGGACGCTAGTTTGTGTCCTCCCGTTATCCTTAGGAGAACTATGGGGAAAAGCCCTAACCCCATAGTTCTCCTTTAACATTAACTGGTCAATATGGGCAGAGCCTCCTATCAGTAGGAGCCTAAAAACTAGACCAACCATACCACTTTTTTTTAAAGACCAGCAATGCCTATCCAACACATGCTATGTATTATTTAATCAAGATATGGATTAATTTTCTGTAGTACAAAATAGGACCAATGTAGAAAAAAAAATACATGAAAGTGGGAGCTCTAAGAATCACAGTATAACAGGGGTAGGCAACCTTGACACTCCAGCTGTTGTGGAACTACAAGTCCCATGAGGCATTGCAAGGCTCTGACAGCCACAGACATAACTCCCAGAGGCAGATGCATGTTGGGATTTGTAGTTTTGGCACAGCTGGAGTGCCAAGGTTGCCTACCCCTGCAGTATAATATGTGCTATTTACCATCATGTTAAAAAAAAGTCTTGTGTATTTATCTCATTAATATGAGATGTAAACTAACTTTAGACATCAATGCCTCATATAAACTTACTGATAAAGAAAACTAACATCCAAGGAGGATATGGTATATTGTAGATATTTTACACAATGCCTATCAATAAATTTGATGTCTAATCCAATTGAACTGGATCCCGTATATATACATATAATGAGTAAAAATTTGTAATTAACTATAATTCTGCCAGACATGGATCAAGACTTGTATTTCAGAAAATGGAGTGTATTTCCATATAGCTCTTTGAAAATGACACAAAATACTTAGGGAATTGGCTGACTTCACGGATAAAGAAAACTTTAACACCATCCAGGCGCAACAGATGATGTTAATAATGACTGGCATCAGTGTAAACCTGAATCCACTGCAACATTGGTTTTATTCTACTTTTTCTGTGGCACTGTATGAAACAAATCAAACACAAATTGTGACAAACCATCCATCTTGTGACATATAAGCTATTTACTAGGTCTCAAGCCTGCAAGTCACTCAGTTCTGTGCATTACAAAAAAATACAGAAACCTTGATAAAACATAGTCCCAAATGACGAGCGTAGGAACTGGACCGTTCCCAAATTCTTTGAAGTGCTGTGCTGCAAATTGTTCTGGCTCAGTACAGTAAAACCTTGGTTTCCTACTGAATCCATACTGCTTCCATCAATATGGGATACCATTGTAAAAACAGCTTAGTTCAGTTACAGAGACAAAACCTTGGTAATACTGCATGTCTCGCTGTCACCTGAGGGATCATTTGTGAGTATGCGCTCAAATTTGATTTCCACTGTGTATTGTCTGAAACATGAAACATAAGCAGGGCTTATAATGGAATGCATTCAGCATTTCAGCAGATTTGTGCAAACCCGTGTATGTTTCTCTGCAAATATTTCCTAGCTGTGCTGTCTTCATTTTTTTTTTGTCTTTTTTCATTACTATTATTTTTGTATTTTTTTTTCATTTTTACATGTATATAAAGTGTACTAACCAAAGTTCATAGCAGCCATATTCGTAGCATTGTGAGTTGGATTTAAAAAGTTACCTTTCTGAATTTTTTTTATTTTTATCTTTTTCCTCCTTTGTGCAAGATTGAGAACTCTGTACTCTTGTTATTTTGATCATAGAGTTTTGGGAAGAATTTCTTTTATCTGAGTCCTCTGAGTAAAGAAACAAAAACTCCACAAATAAGGCTCCAGGTATGACTCTGTGCATCTCTCTAACGCTTTCTCTTCTAGCCCACGCTGGTTGAAATTGGCCTCCCAGGATTAGATCCATATAATTCCTCTGTCTCCGAGTATTAAGAGCAAATGTTATATGTGTAGCAAAGGTTCTATATCAGAATGTGCAGTTGAGTCTCTCTGGAGAAATTACAGGAGTAGTCTAGGAAGCCTGTTTCATCCATTCCTACAGGCCAGAGACCATAACTTGGAAGGAAGGCGGCACATGTCTGTGCCGAGGGCTGGCACTAGGGCTTACACACGGACTGGCACAGCTTGCATCCACACCACCTATTGATGGCAAGTAGGCATGGTGGAGGATGGGTAGTTGTAATGATAGCCGTCGCTGTATACTGTGAAGGAATAAGATATAAGGTTAAAACGTTTTATGGTTCTTTTGCAATTATTACATCTGTATGCAATTTATGCTCTTCTCAGAGAGTGTAAGTGGTCTTCTATAATAGTGGTATTCCATAAAAGTGGAGGCCCCCTCACATAAAAGGAAGTGCACTGCTATTTTTTAGGAATAATTTAACACCAAAGATAAAGTTATGTGGGTAGTGCTTTGGCACAGCCAATATGTGTAAATGTCTCCTATAAAATTCAAACCTTTTGAGATCCGGTTCACTTTAAGAAGAATTGCAACATACGGTGGGTACGGCTGGGTGCTTTGCATTCTAAACATAACAAAGGGTCATTTTTGATGCATTTCATTGATAGCTGAGTGACCAAAACCTAAATGTTAGTCTTTTTTATGCATGTGAGTATGAGAACTGTACCCAAATGTAACAGCTGTAAAATAACTGTAATCTATTACGAGTACTGTTCATTGAAGTGTATCTATAGTTTTGGATAGAGTAGGGAAGGATTAGGACTCCTGTCTGAATTTGTTCTCCAATGAGTGGAGGCAATTAAGGGGGAGATTGTCACTATGTATAAATGCATAACAATCCATATAGTAAACGTTTGTGCAAAGTTATTCAATTTAAGGTCATTGCAATGGACAAGGGGGCACTCTTTGAGTCTGGATGAAAAGAGTTTTAACCTTTGCATATGGAAAATCTTCTTCACAATAAGAGCTGGGAAAAAGTGGAATAGGCTTCCTTAAGAACTATTTCTAGCCAGCTCAGTTAAACAATAATGTGGATGCATTTCTAAATGCACAGAATATAACAGCATATTAACATTTTATAAGTAATAACACCGGAGATTGTTGATTTAGGGAATATCCAATTGTCTTAGGAAATCAGGAAGGATTTTTTTCCCCTTGTTGGATCAGGAAGGATTTTTTTTCTTGTTGGATGTAAACTGACTTTTTTTGCCCATTTACATCATATTACCCCTCATCTGGCATGATCAGGTCCGGCAAAATAAAACTGTTCCATTTGTTTTTCTAGACGTGGCTGGAGTTGGGGGTAGCCAGGTGTAAACGGTTGCATGTCTGTTTAAAACCAGTTGCCCATAGACTAGCATTGGGTCTCCGATCAGGTCCGCCAGAAAAACTGACAGACGGACCCGATCAGACCGACCGTGTGAAAAGGAGCATAAAAATATTAGACATAATACTTACTGTTCTGGTGAGTTAATATCTTCTATGGAATCTTTATTAGTTCTGGATGATTCTATAGTGTTCCACTGTGAAGGGTTATTTTGATCAAGATGATTTTTTAAAACAACTTTTTCACCATCTGTAAAAAGAAATATAATAAAGACATATTAGGTTATACAGTACATATAAATAGCATATTTCCACTCCCTTTTCTGTGATCTCATCATGACAGAAATTGCAGCAAAGTAGTTGGCTGAATAAAAAAAAAAATTTTCTCCAGTTTTAATAAATATTCATATTTATCCCCTAGTTACTACATAATTAATCCTAATAATATCTAAATAATGTTTTCCTCCGCTTTCCATGCAGTTAGTTTTATTTGTTTTACTTCTTTTCAAATGACATCAAAAGATATTATTTTATTTGATTAACTTTAGGCTTTGGACCAGGAAAGTAATTTCTGGTGTTGGGCAAATTTCAGAATCTCTTTTTTTTTTTACTTTTTATAGTGTTTTAAACTACTTTTGGTTTTAAAATATGAAGAGAATATTAATTTTTGAAGACAATGCCATTATAAAGAAACCTTGCCCCCTATAAAAAAATAGATGCATTGTGAAAACTAATCTGTTAGATAAGGGTTAACAATCAGGTGGTTAAATGTAAATGTATTGTTACCACAGTTGCTAAGTTCAAACTTATCTCAAAGTTACTAATATGTGTTAATGAATATTAAGCATTTTATATCACAAAGCATATTCTTGTAGATTTGCATGCTTATATTTCTACATTGTGTTACTTTACTTATACTGTTCTATTCCACATAAACATGCATTGACCTGTAACATAGAGTAAATACAGGCTTAAAGTGCATGTCAAGCCAAAAAAAATGTTTTTTTTGTGTTACATAGAGTAGGTAAATATCAGAATTCCTGTCAGGTATGTGATGCTATTCAGGGCTCTATTATAGAGATTTACCTTAACTTTCTGTTCTGCTACTGACAATGGCTTAATCAGACAGGAAGTGAAAGTAAATCTGAAACAGAATCACAGATAAAAATACAAATGTGTGTGTGCAAGTTGGGAACCGCCAAAGCAGAACATATTAAGCCTATATTTAGTTTTATTCAGACTCCTATGTCATAAAATTCCAACATGTTTCAGGAGTTTAAAGGGTTCCCCTTCATCAGGGCTTGATATTGTTTAACAGTGTACTGGATCAGGGATTCTGAAAGGTAATTAGTATGATTGCTGTATGACTGCCTTCCCTGATGAAAGGAAACCGTTTAAACCCCAAACTGCTTTGACTTTCTATGACAGAAGAGTTTGAAAAAACTGAAACTAGACTATATATGTTCTGCTTTTTTGATGCTCTCCTCCTTGCACACCCTGCTGCTACTCAAGCAAACAGCTGACCTTCGGCCACCACTCCTGAGAGAACTAAGGAGAACCATTTAATCTACACTGCTGAAGACCTGACTGAAAACATCTACCAGATCCAGTACCCTTTCTACTAATTCCTGAAAAAATACATTTGAGAGGGGTTCTAACCCTCCATTTAAATAATAATAATAAAAAAAGTATTTTTATTTATGTCTGTGTTGCTGTTGCAGATTTCCCCTCACTTCCTGTTAATAAAATGTTGTCAGCTAAAGTTAAATCTCTCAAAATGAGCCCTGGATAGGAGAAAACATTATCTTTATGAGTAATAAACCTTCCTCACCCTATCCAAACAAAAGAAAAAATGTTTACTGGACATACACTGTAAATTATTGAAGTCTGCATGTAGGCTTCCAAGTACATTTTGAAACTAGTCCATAATTGAAATTTAAAGGTTCTTACATGTCATCAGCGTGGTATGTTATTGGGAAGGGAAGTGTTGGCTAAAGCAACAGACTCGCATAACTGCCACCACACCAGCTGCATACATCCAGTACTTCTGAGCATGGAGAGCATATGACTAACTTTAATTCCTTCCAGGATTGGGTGCCTAAGTGACTGATTGTCAGACGTCTGTCTTGTCTTACAGGTGAGAGGAGGGAGTCCTCAGCCCTGTGTAAGCACCAACCAGAGTGTTCTGGAGCTTACACAATGCTTGTTCTCTCTGTTCCCTTCGGGGAGGAGAGCTGTGGCAAAGGAAAGGTAAACATAAGCAGATGAGGAGGGTGGCAGTTAGGTAAACCAGTTGCAGTGTAAGCAATAGGCAAATCAAACTGTACTGGTTTTTCATTTTGATAGGTATGGTAATATAGGTTTGTCTTGTTCAGGTAGGCAGTGCAGTAGTGATGATGAATGACACACAGTAACAGAAAAAAAAGTGTGGCATTTTACTGTAGTTGAAGGATAAAGAAATTTTGTCATCACAATGTATCATTGCACTTTGGTCATCACCACTGCTCATTGCACCGCCTGTTTAAACAATTTAGTATTATAACCGCTAAAAGATAGAAAAACTGAGCATTGCAACCAATTAGATTCCAGCTGTCACTATGAAAATATAAGCCTATTCCACTCTTCCTTGAAGCTAAACATGTTTACTATTGGGTTTGACCAGATTTACCAAGCATATGTCAGTTAGATTTAATCAGGACTGATCCTAAGAGAATCAGGATTTCATATAAGAACTGGATTCCAAACAATTAACTGATCTTCTATTATGCTATTTATGTAATGGAATTCCTCTATCTTTTGAGTCTGGGTATTTTCCAGTACATATGCTTTGTCTCTAGATGATTACAAGAGGACCATTAAAACCATTGTTGACTAGTCATTTTACTTACATTTCAATATTTCCTTTTTTTGTCTTTAAAAACAAGAAATGGAGGAAATAAATGGTTCTATGTATGTCTATGGGTTTTCATGTGCATATACTAAATGCTGTACACCAAATACAGTATTCTGAAATAAGGTAAAAATGAAGGGAGCTTGCATGAACATTAGGGATGAGCGCACCTGGCCAAGTTTGGATTAAGCTTGATGCGGCAAACTCAGTGCAAAGTCCACAAACCCCAAACTTAGCTGAGAACCCCAGCTATTTTTTCTGGAGTCAGAGGTAACAGGCAAGTTATTGTGGAATAAAGGGCAATGGTAACTATGCACTGCACACAGGAGACAAAAAACTTTTTGTTTTTAAATACCATTGAGCAGGGCATGTGGCTTTAAGGGAAATGTTGAAAATACACAAATCCTCTAGATAACATGCATGGAAATAGTACAATAGTATATTTTACAAGTGACAGACATTTAACAGAAAAAAAACACCCAGACCCTTATCCGTATTGAGGCTTTAGCCTGGGTGGGCAGGAATTGGAGGGCAGTAAGTACGCAGCCCCCCTTTATGGTGGCCCCCAGATATTCCTCCCCCTACAGCGGAATGAGCACAGGGGTACATTAGTACACCGTTTTTACTAATTCCCAGAAAGAGTAAAATGTAAATAAACACACCGACACTTTAGAAAAATCCGTTTAATTACAATGCCGAAAAATTCAATAAATGTCACTAGTGTCCTAATGTAAAGCCAACGCCAATCATGGCATACAGCAATGTAAATTCTCACCAATCATGATGACCTGATGCCCTCCAATGTTTACCCACAGCACTGCAGCTGCTAAATAAAAGATTCCCGCCACTGAATTAATGTAAACACAACATCAGTTTGGGTGGGCAAATGGCCACAGACAGCTGCAAAAGTTCAGTAAGTCTGTGAATGGTGAACGAGTTGAGTTAAGCTCAAACCCGGGTCCACCTGAACCTGAATCTCATCCCTAATGCACATTAATCTTAGGGATCATTCACATGTGCATGAAAAGAGTTCACTTGGCATGTATTTTCTGCAATGTTCTATGATAAAAAAGAGGATGTTTGATTGCTGGGAACTGCATCAATCTGTGCTATCTCGATTGTTGCATATAGCATTCAGAGTGTGCTTAGCCCTCAATGGCTTCCCTGCTATTGAAGCTGAGAAAAAGTTAAAACAACTCAGGTGCTGCATGCTTTCCAGCATTTACTACCCTCATGGCACTTGGTACAACAAAGATTACCATTCCTAGAAATGGTGCAGTAGAAAAGACACATGGAAGGATGAATTTCCCAATACCAGCTGTGGTATTCAGCTTCTCCAGAACTGCTGAATACCCACACAGTGCCTGCATCCTATTGAATCCTTCAGGGAGATCCAACAGAATCACCCACTACTCCATATTTGGCCGGTTCATGGGAACCTGCCAAAATCTGCTGTGTGTGTGTGTGACCAGCTTGGCATGCTTGGGTGGATACCATTTGCCTTTGCACCTTATAGAGTTAACAAGGTTTATTTAATAGTGGAAACTAAAAATGATTTAGTGATGTTGTTCTCTACTGTGCATTTGATATACATAACTTTACAAGAATCACTGGTGTGTAACAAACCTCTCCGTGTACGTGGATTTGTCTGGCAGGAGATAATTTGAATATGTTATACAGAATGGAAATGTTATTTTTAAAGTGTTTAGCTGTGGTGACAGTGCACTAAAACCCCTCAGGAAAAATACCATTTGGCAGTACTTTCTCTATTATTTGAAAAATTCTTAATGTTGTCAAACTATTGCCTTTGGTTTCCCTTACCAGTGCTCTGTCTGCAATTAAATATACTATTTTATTTAATTGAGATATTTTATTCAGGAGTCTACTACCTAGAAATTCCAAACACATGGGAAGACAATATTGGAGATTATCTCTGTTTGACCATAGATATGTTATCCATATGAACATAGTCACCAGACATTTTTCCTTGTGGATGTATAGACCACTGGTAAGCTTATAAAAAAAAATAGAAAATAGACATAAGAAGGTAGACCCAGGGCTATTTCTAGGCAATGGTAAACTGTGTCATCAGTTGGAAGGAGTGCCAGAGTGGAATGAAATATATTTAGGAGAATCAGAAGGGTACAAGCCTGTGTTTTTGCTGATCCAATTGGTTTTGCATCCTTCTTGGGATACTTGTAGTAAGCTTTCTACTTTGCTCCAACCACTATAGGTTAGGCAACATTATAGTAAAATACTCATAATTATTATACAAAGTGTTGTCAACTTCTGTCAAGAGTTGGTCTTCCTAGATGTATACTGTCTTAGGATCAGCAAACAGTAGTAAACACTTCAGTGTATCTTACCTTTGCTGTCTGTAAAGTTTCTTATACTGAGAATATCATTCAGATCCTGGTAGTGGTTCTGCTTAATATAAGTTGTTTTCTCAGGTGTATCTTGAAGTTGCATTGTAACTTCCTCAAGGTCTTTGTCCAGCTGAAAAATAAGAGGATAATATTCTTTTCCCTTTAATAAATATATATATATAATATATAAACATTCAGCACGTTGAATATTATAACAAATTCTAAGTAGGTTTTTAACTACAAAACTTCACCGAAGAGTTCTGTAAAGATGCCCATGATTGTTGCAATGTTGGTGGCACAAAATGAAAGCACCTGGAGATACAAATGCCCATATAGTTATGAAAAAAATTAATATAATGTTCTACAACAAAATCAATGTAGTTAGAACAATTAGACCATTTGTAACAAATCTGGCAGCCATCACTTTCTTATATGGGCTTTGTAATTTTGTAAAAACAAATAAATAATATAATATTTTGTCTGCTATTACTGGAACTCTGTTATGTTCCTTATAGTCCTTCCATAATTGTTCTGTTTACTTCTTAATATTTTCTTCTTGTACTTGTTATTATGGTTACATGTCTTATGTAACCATAATAACTTATGTTACATGGCAATATTCCAAGTCTTTTTTGCTTCAATAAAACATTTGACAAAAAAAGTGTTTTTTTGGAGTAACGTTAGGCAACGCAATGCACAACTTTAAACCAATGCTGCTTGGGATTTTAGTGCAACAGTTGCTTTGTTGTCAGCTCACAGAAGGAAATTAGGAACACATTCGATTTTTGGCAGGATCACATACTGTATGTATGTATTGCAGGGCTGTACTCAATATGTGTTTGTTTTTTTGCCCTGATATACCCTTTAACTCAGTTTGTAAATACTGCAGCTTTGATCCTTTAGACTTTGATAGATGAAGTGAATTTAACAGCAGATATTTTTATGGGCAGGACATAACAAATCAGCCTTGTCCATGACTTTTTACAATAAACTAGCCAATGACCTGCTTTGTTTATTTATTGCATGCAGAATAAGAAGTCAAACCAGACTTTAGAGCTTTTAAATCTGTTAGGGTTGATTATCCTTGTGTCTCTTAATTGTCCTTTGAAATTTAATCTAATTTTTCATTTTATTAAATCTATTTTGGAATGAATGGAGTTTCCAAATAAAAACCACATTGACCATTAGGAATTCATTTGATCGAGAAAAATTTTCCAACATCTACCCTCAAAAAGTTTCAGGAACATTGTAGTTTTCGTCTGTGGATTGCACCATATTAATTGATATCGAACGGTCCAAAAACGACTACTTTCATACAAAATTTAAACCATGTATACCCTACTTAAGTCTCCAGACAATCTGTTGCTGCAAATACACTACCTATATGAAGAATGGCAGAATGCAGGGTTACAGAGGGAAGCATTAGTATTGTACTGCATCGACTGTGCTTAGAATTACAATAACACTATCACATCACAGTTTATCATCTAGATTTCTCTCATCTCCAATGTGTTCACTGATCTTTGAGCAGCAGCAATGGACTTTATTCACAATACCACATTGGAGTAGTCTTACTGTATACATCATGGCATTACAATGCTGATGGGTTTTATTATGACGCTGGATACCGAAAAGACACTTTCCTCTTTTGATTTAACAATTTATTTATAAGTGTTCTGATCTCTAAGGATAATGGACTAGTACTCATGCTTTTCCTTTTTGTTTTTTCATAAACTTCAGAGTAAGCCAAGTCTCAGAATGCATGGTCAGAAAGGAAGTAACTGCAGGGGGGTTGAGAATAAATAGATGGCCGGAATGCCTTTTGTGGAGCAGGTGTCCCTTTGGAAGAAATACAAAAGACTGCATGCCATTTCAAAAGCTAATAATGTACCTGCCATTTCTACATCTAATGCTGGTGCCTCAGCTGGCAGCATTGAGAAAGATGATACAGTAATTGTTAAAAGGATTAGGCAAGTACTAATTCTGAATTTCAGCATTCATTGTCCATTTTAGTATTTGGAAAAAAATGACAAGTGATTTAAAAATATGGTGATGCAATATGGAGTGGCTTATCATTTGTTTGCTATGTTTAATCATCTATATTAGTCTAATGACAAAATTTCTTAAATTGGTAACTTAACTATGCATCAGTGTTTCTATAAATATGTATTCAATAAATGAATTCAAAGTATTAGAATAACTTGTCAAAAAACGTAATTCTGTAGGTAGAGAGTGAAAGTCTTTTGTTATGCTAGAGCCTTCTGCAATGTTAAAATAGGACTTTGATTTCCCTTGCTGAAAGGTATGCGTGTTCAATAATGCATGACACTGCATTCTTTAAGTTACTGTAAAAGGTGTCATCAGTGGTTTCTATCAAACCAAGTTCTGCTTGATTACCTCACAGCTAACATGCCAGCTGGATCAACTGAGCATGTTTTATAAAGAACACGTTATTGTTAAAACTACTCAAAACTGAAACGCTGACTCAAAATAATTGGGTTTGCAAGAATGAGGACTAAAAAAATCAATCACTCTGTGAGTCATAATTGAATCCTGAATTAACTTTGCAAATTTGGATAATGCTAGCAAATGTATTTGCTTAGAGCTGACAGAATAAAACGTCTGCATCCTTGGCTAATGGGTCACACTGTTGCATATTGCAAAAGGTGTCTGTATACTGAAACTCGCCGTGTTAGCAGTTTGTTAAGACTGATTAAACATTTTTTGTATTTTTATTCATTGTCAGGGCTTACATTGAAAAATAATAATAAAAAGATGCTTGTTTCTTCTTCCATATCAACTCCCTAAATACTGTATTTATCCTCCTAAATATAGTTTGAGAAATCCAACTTGGAGACTTATACAGTATATAGGAGAGCTGAGGCATCCAAATCATTTTAATGAGATTTAATCTACCAACTGGCAAAAGGGGAAGTTTGCACCATACATTACATTGTTTCTGAAATTTCTGCAAAATTGATATTAAATTATCTTCTAAATATGCCTCAACATTTACTCTAATCCTGACTCCTAAATAAAAAAGTGAATCAACTATTTGTATATGCTGAATTTGCATCGGCAGTGGACAAGGAAGAGGATCGATCGGAAGTAACATTGATTTTTCCCAGTTCACGCACAGCCCTGAGAACCTACCAAAATCCTGAAGTAAAGACATCACTTCTAGTAGAGAGTGGTTAGTATCAGCATATAGTAGTATCTTATCCTCTGCTTTACCCCGCCTAAATTCCACTATCTTATCTGAATTTCTTATTAAGTTAGCTAACGGTTCTATCGACAATGCAAATAAAAGGGGAGACAAGGGGTACACCTGTCTAGTTCCCCTCGTCAGTTTAAAAGCTGAGGATAGGGCCTTCTTGCTGAAGGATTGGCGTATAATAATTTAATATATAAAATATACTGGGGACCAAAACCAAATGCTCTTAAAATTGCCCATAAATAATCCCATTCAACACTATCAAAAGCATTAGCAATGTCCAGGGATAATAAAGCTCTATTCCCAATTATCTCGGGCGGAACTTGCATATTCACATATGCCCTTTGCACATTATCTGTCATTGACTTATTAGACATAAATCCACTCTGATCCGGGTTTATTATCTTCTGAATAACCTTGGATAGCCTATTCGCCAACACTTTTGCCAAAATCTTAACATTGGCTCCCAACAAAGATATAGGCCTATATGACTCCGGCAGTAACACATCCTTCCCCTTCTTTTGTAAAACTATAATTGCAGCCATATACATTGACTCAGGTAATTTTCCTACTTCCAAGGCTTCATCAAAAGTTTGTAATAGCACAGGAAGCAAAGTGGAGGCATATTTCTTATACTGTATATCTCCATTGGCAACCCATCCAAACCCGGAGCTTTCCCCTTTGGAAAACTAGCCACCGCTACCTCTAATTCCTGAATAGTAAGAGTGGTTTCCAAGCTCTCCTTGTCACCCTGCGATAGCGTGGTAAATGGGATATTACCTATATAGCTCGCCAGATCTTCACTACTATAAGTTGCTCTAGTAGTATAAACCCCTTCGTAGTACTGTTTAAAGATTGAAGGAATTCTGTCAGACTCTCCGCACAACTGGCCATCCACATTCTTCAACACATTTACAAATGGAGCTTGCTCTTGCGCCTTAGCCAGTTGCGCCAACAGTCTTCCAGAACTTTCTCCCTCTTCCCATTACTTCTGATTACCAAAAAATAGTTTATTTTTAGCTTTCTTACTTTCAATATTCCTCAATTATTCATGTGCTACAGTCCAGTCATCACAAGCCTTTTCATTAGGATTTAACACAAACTGTGTTTCCAAACGAATCACTTCTTTACGTGCCTCTTCCTCCTCCCTATTCCATTGCCTCCTCGTCCTACTAATCTGCTGACATAAATATCCCCTCATATATGCTTTTTAAGAATCCCATATGGTCCCCTGTGGCGCAGAATTATTATTTGTGCTGAAAAACATTGATATCTCACTTTCCAACTTCTCCTGTGCTGGCAGTATAGTTAACCATCCCGGATTTAATTTCTAAGGTAACTTAAAAAAACGTCCCCCAGTTTCAATAATAGTGATTATTGGTGAGTGATCTGAAAGTGATCTAGGTTGTATCTCAACCGATTTAATTAGTGACATTACATCAACCGAACATAAAACTAAATCTATCCTAGATAATGTGTTATGTGTCTTCGAAAAACATGTATATTGGTGTTCCTCTGGGTGCATCAAACGCCACACATCCCATAGCCCAATTTCTTAAAAAAATTATAAAAATAAGTATTTTTAGTAAAATCGAAGGGGTCTATTCACTAAGCTGCCGTAGTCAGCCGAGTGAATGACTGACCTGAAGTAAAGTGAGCCGAACACTGTTCGGCTAGTCACTTCAGGCTGGTACGGCTGATTTCGGCCGCACATCGGTTTGCTTCACGTGGCTTCGGGTCGGGTTCTGCAGAAGGAGTTCGACATCTGGATCGGCTGAGCCGAACCTCAAGTGGCCGGAGCCATCCGTAAGATCACGGCTGGCTCCGCCCAGCTGTCAAAAGCAGGCTTTCGGCCTGCCGCCCACAGCATGTATGGGCAGCTGTGCGTCATGGTTGGGAGAGGCTGTCACCAGCAGAATATGCTGCAGGCACCGCCGGGCAGCACATTCATTTCTGCTGTGTGAGGACCTGACCCTCTTAGCCCCGCCCCCTGACCGGGGAGACGAGGAACAGGGCCCTGCTGGAGAAGGAAGGTAAGTCTGGAGTGGGAAGGGGGGAAAGTGTGTGTGTGTGTGTATGCTGGTGATATAGTGCTCAGTTTTATTATAATGCATTGCTGGGACTTGTAGTCCTGCATAGCTGGTGGTGTTCGGCATTGCTGTATAATGATTATACAGCAATGCAGAATAGCTCCAACTATGTAGTACTACAAGTCCCAGCAATGCATTATATTTTTTAATTAGGAATACACCAGTGCCAATACTTGGCATTTTCATGAGTACTCATACTCGTGAAAATGCCCCGATACTAAATGCAGATACCGGTGTTCTGTCGAGATGCCGATGTAGTCGAATTTGCCGACCTCAGCATCTGTGCTTGCGCACAGACCAGTATTATCGAGAAAACAGGCATTTATTCACAAAGTATTTTGTTTAAATCGTTAATTGTGACTGTTAATAATATTCCACCCGTCATTTCGGTCACAATTAACATTTACAAACGAATACTTTGTAAATGCTGGTTTCCTCGGTAATCCCGTCTGTACATAAGCGCAGATACTGGGTCAGCGTTCTCGACAGAACACCGCACTAAAATTTTAAACAAGCGGCTGCCCGAGGTCCCGCGCTTGCTGGGGACCTCGGCATCCTTCCTGTTAACCATGTGGTGCCATGCCGGTTTCTTGCACGGGGCCCTGAAGGTTCTAGTTACGCCCACTGCCGAAGGCTGTTGCAAAAAATATATACATGTGGAAAGAACATGGCACAAATTGTGGCGTCATGGCGACAAATGTCATGACTTATTCACCAACATTGGCCTCATGCAGAGTGGCTTAGTTGACAGTGAACTTCCTTCTTGTTGCCTGGTTCGCTTATACGTACTTGTCAACACTGAAATAATTTGATCCCTTCTCGTCCCCTAACCATCTTTATACTCACAGTTACCTATTTTTACCTACAAATTTTACCTACCAACTAAACTGTCACTGGGAAAACGCCTCTACTGTGATAAATGGATCTTTCTCATATCTGCTGAATAAGATGTGGACCACATTAGTTCATATCTAGCTTATCATTTTCTGAGCCTCAGCTTAATACCTAAAAGGGAAAACACTCAATCCTGATGTCTTATTTATTTTTTTACAAAGCATGTGCTACTGATTCTGGGTGAAATACATTACAGACATTGTTGTTTCTTCTCGTTATTTAGACTCCACAGATTGAGTGTAACATTTCTAATTAAAGGAGGCTGACTATGATGGTAACATTAATTCCCAAGCTTTGTTAAAATGTGTTTACGCATTGTAAATTCTCTGAAGAACAAATTCATCAATGGCTCATGTTTTCCCCAAGCGAGTTAAAGAAAGCTGGATGTTATGGTAGCCTATAGTGCACATTCATCAAACAGCAAGATATTTTAGACTCTGATTAATGAGACCCATTTAATCAAATACATGTTTGATTAAACAAAAAACCAAAAAAAACCCAAATGAAACCTTTTTACAATTATACATGCATGTAGGTATTTATTTTCTTTTTGTGGTCATTTCTTTTACCAAATACTATTAGAGCCTATATGCTGCTGTATCATACGGTCAACAATGGAGCTATGAGTAATGTTAGGAACAGCATCCTGGCTTCATGCAATCAAGGAAGTGCCTGCTGATACCCCCACTGTTTCTCTCTGTCAGCATAAAGGCACAGCATATCATTCCCTGTAATATAGCTATATTTAGATGTGAATAAATGCCACTCATAGTTAGCTATATTACCATGTATAAAAATCTGTAACCAGGAAAAGGCTGCAGAAAAGCAAAGTTTTGCTTTCTTTAAATAAATTAAAATCAACAATCTAATCACCAGCAAGCAGAAATCCTGTTTTTCATTCCCATTGCAATCGATTGGATATTCAAAGTAAAAACAGCCTCATCCTATATAATAAGCTAAGTGAACACTCATTTTGCTGAGCGAGCAGTCTCAGATTCTTTGGTTAATTAGCTCCATTGCGTTTATGTGTACATAAAAGGGTTGGAGAGATACAAAAGCGTTGTTCACCATTGTCATAAAGATATTTGGCCCTTTCCTAATTCGCTATTAGCAAAACCTAAAAGTAATGGTAGAGAAGACTTTAGACATACAAATTCCATCAGATAGATGGCTGTTGCCATGGACCAGGGTTTTAGGTGCTCCTCAGCAGAAGCTGTCAAAAGTAGAAAATAATAAATAATGATAACATTAAAAGTGTTGTTAGTGTGGGATTATTCATTAGGTATGGTAGGCCTGTCTATGGGTCCCATGCAGCAGGTATGCCAGAGGTTTCATGACTGACTGTCATTTAGACAGTTGGCCCTATCTGTTTTATAGGAGATATGACAGTGCTTCTGTATAAACAATGCTTTCGAACAGTGTTTGCAGAAACACACAGGTGTACCTCACACAGTACCTGTACAACACAGACCAGGACCCGGCTAATATTTTTATAGCCTAAAAGTAAAACAACTTTATATGTATTTGTAATCTATATAATGAAAACGTAATTGCCAAATCAATAGGGCCATAGCTAGAATGTAAATATTGCTCTGGTTCATAAAACATACACGGGTACGACAACCAAAGTGGCTAAAGCTGCCTGCTGTTCAAAATCTCGGTACCTCTCCACAAAATGTTGCATTATCCGCTTGCCATCCGCCCGTTTCGCTCGTGCCTAGGCAGAAAAAACCCGTTCATTGTAAACAGCAGTTAGCGGCTGTTTCACATACAAGCGATCGGCGGCTCAGTAGTCCTCTGACTGCTATAGCAGCATTCACCTGTCAGTCCTCTGGCTGCTATAGCCAGAGAGAAGAAGCAGATGAAGCAAATCTCTGCTTCATCAGTTTCTTTGGGGGTCCCCAGGTGACAGGGGTCTTAGGGACCCCTAATGTCTCCATAAAGAGGACCTGTCAGTGTGCCTTTGCTATTATATAGGGGGATTTGTGATAGCAATAACATTAAGTGTAACAAAACAAAAAAAAAGTAAAAAAATAAATAAAAGTCGCATATAAAACAAGTAAAACAAAAACCCCCAACATTTTTAAGTCCCCACCCCCATGTTTACGCACATATAGACATAAATACGCGTCAGATACGTAAATACACGTCAGAAAACGACAATTGCGCTACACATGTTACATATCGCCACGAATGTTGGAGTGAGAGCAATAATTTTAGGGCCATCAATCACTGATAACACTAAACTGATGAGCGGTTAAAGCTTTTAAAGCGTTGCCTTTGGGCAATTTTGGGTATTGTCGTTTTTTGAGGTTTTGCAGGCGCAATTTTAAGGCTTGACATGTTTGGTGTCTTTTTACCCGACGTGACCCCGTCTTTTATATTTTACCAAAAAATTGGGTAATAATAAATGTTTTATAATTTAATATGGGGAAACAGTTTTTGTTTTTTTTTATTTTTGGGAATTTTTCCTTACTATAGTAAAAAATAAAAACCCCAGTGGTGAATAAATACCACCAAAAGAAAGCTCTATTTGTCTGAGGGTTTACTTGCAATATTACCACCTTTTTCCCCAACAGAAATAACTTTGTTTTGCCTGTTCAGATGCTTTTTACAAGGTTTTTTATTTTTATAAACCTATTACATAGTGGTATAGCAGTTGTTATAGATGCAGGTGGTCACTGTCTAATGACAGCAGTTACCAGATGAAAGGTGATTGGCTACAATCTCATTCACTGTAAGTATGAGATTATAAGATTTTTAATTTAAGACATAGAACGATAGCAGGCTGGTGCTCTCAGCAGGCTGAAGATCTACTGATAAGGAACATAAAGAATTAAACATCAAAAATACCAGCTGCCTAAATAGTGAGTAGATAATACCTCTGTGATTTTCATCCGTAAACGATGATTTTCTGATTGCAGTCCTTCTAGTCGGGAAGTACTGGCTTGATTTACGCTGGTGACTGATGTTGATGTCTTTGAATCTTCTTTTTTTTGAATGTGCGTGAACTGAAACCTCCTGTTCTGGGTGGCTACATCAGGATTTGCCCGTAAGGTAAGTAACTATGAAAATTGAACAATAATTTAAAACATTTCTAACAGATAATGCTGAGGCATAATTCAATACACACAAGCCCTCGTTAAAAGGTAAGTGCTATACTATGCCAGCAATTTGGGTCAATTGCTGAAGCCTTCAGTGCATGGCTGATGTTCTCAATGGACATACGCAACATCAAATATTTATGCAAATAAACATTTCAATTATGCATTAATAAATCCAGCAAGTTATTCTTTTGGAAAATAATGGCAGTAAAGAATTTATTTTTTTGCTTTCTCCTTTGATTAGCTAAACACATGAACATTCTAGAAACATTAATAATACAGTTTATTTCTACTCACATTGGTCTCCTATTTTAGGGTAATATGATGTCACAAAAAATACGTAAGAGTTTTGAGATGATAATAATAAAGATGTCAGCCTGTAATGTGTTTTATATATAGTAACACATCGTTTAAAGATATTTCTTCTGAAACCAGGGAACAAATATTTGCTTTTTTGAAGTGCGGTGTTGTAAAACAAATAGAATGGAAATGTATATTAACCCAGCATTATAATCCACATTTAACAAGAACCTTCATGGTCGAACATTTTAATATGAAAATATGTGCCCAATGTGCCTGAACTTTAGGAATGCAAGAAGTAGATTGCAGGTGTCTACATTCATCCTTTATCTTTAGAGTGTCTGCTTATCCCAAGAATCCAGATACAGTGCTATAGAAATAACAACCATAGCTTTTATGACAAATCCCTAGCCAACATCCACCCACCTGGTCCTTTTTCTATTGGCCAATATAACCACCTATTGCATTTGGTAGCCATTAGAAAGGCAGGGGAGCTAGAGCAGAATGGAGAACTGTAGTTGAAATTGCATTAAAAAAGGCATGGGTTTTGGGGATACATGCATTATAAACCAGGACTGGGGGTAGGCACCTGTAGATGTCTGCTTTATGGCCATTTGGGCATCTAAGGTGGTTAGGTGAAGCAACAATTTAAATTTGATGCTCAATTTAAATTTGTGTGTTTTTTAAAAATGTACGGCCTAGCTAAAGCTACTCAGAGGCCAAAGTTGGTCAAACTCTCCCACAAGACACATTTATTCACACATCTATAATCACATACAGGCATAGATACTATATAACATACACTAATTTACACATACACCTATATGAGTACATATAATCACACATATTCTGTACTTTTACAAAATTCTGTGGCTGGGGTAGTGAAAAAAAAAGCTGGTGCCCTAAGTGGTTGGTTGCAACTCCATGGCAGTGCTGGGGTTCTGATATTGATTACCACTCTCTTCGTTGACTGTGTATGTTCTCTTAATGTCAGTGTAGGTGTCCTCTGTGTACTCTAATTTCCTCCCTTAACCCAAAAATATATTGGTAGTTTAATCAGCTTCCACTTAAACTGACCCTGGTATGTTCTGTGTCTGATTGACTGTGGTATGGACATTCAATTGTAAGTTCTTTTGGTTGAAGGGACCAACATGTAAGATTTTATATTCTGTTTAAAATATGTTAAGGCTATAAAGTAAAGTATAATTTCACAAAATCCCCATCCACACTTACCTTCTAGCCACTACACCTACCTGGCAATTACTGTATCCACTTACACTCAACTCTGCACTAATTATTTCTCTGCAGCTGCACTGCATCCTTAAAAGAAAAAGAGGCCCTTCAACAAAATGGCGAACAGTAAAATAGTTCTGAAAGTGCCTATTTTATAATTTTTTCCCTGCTGTCTTGCTGGACATCACTGCAAAGGCATCTGAAACTGCAGTAAGTAGTAGTTACCAGATGTCTTCATATGAAAAGCAAAGACATATTGTAGCACTCCAGGGTAAAAGCAGGTTGCTTTAGGACAGAGCTGCGAGTTTTGAAGTATGTAGTCTATCCAGCCTTTACCAACTGTGATCCATGTTGCCCTGCTGCTGCATTTTCACAAAAGGCTACTCAGTTTCCTTTTTTGAATAATCTTTTCACTATACTTCGTAAACTTACTAACTATAAAAAGACAAAATCAAACATTGCACATATTAAATGCTAAATTAAGGCTTTATCCAACAAACTATGGAAATATCCCATATTTCATATTTCCCTCCTTTTTGTGAGACTTTCTATTTTAATTCAATGGAAAAGTCCTCCAGCTCAGGATATTTTCCAGCAGCACATACACATTGTTTTTAAGGAAATGTATTCATTTTTTTAGCATTTTTTTTCAATGTTACATATAATAAGAATAAATAATCCAAGTGACACATCCCAATAGGCACTCATAGGAAATCAAATATAATTATAGGTGTTGTCACTTCTTTCCCACACTACAGAGCTAAACCATACAAAACCAAGTTATATTAAGTGAGACCTCCAGCCAGGGGCCCCAAATTTTGTCAAACTTGGCTGGCCATGCTCTGCTAATGAACACTTGTTTGTATTTCGGCAGCATTTCATTAACAATAAAAATAAACTTTTAAAAGGCTGGCTTCCAGGAGTCTTTTCATTGTAGCAAAATGGTGTTCCTGGGCTTAGAATAGTAATATCCTTATCAGAGTCCTAGAGTGTATGAATGGTATATGGTTTAGTACGAGGGCATGTAGATGCGTTTCCAGAATAAATGGTAAGTTAAAATCCACACTTGTTGTCAGCAGACAGTGAACTAGTTGTCAGAGGAGTATGATTTTATAACATGTCCAGAAAGTATATAAAGCTGTGGCTCGGTTCACATTGCATCTGTAACATTGGGTTGAGAGTGGGATGCCCATCTTGTACATTCTATAGGGGGTTTAGCATAGTCAGTTTATAAAATAAAATTGTAAACAAAGATCCTTGGAACTTATGGATGAAGAGCAAAAAGTGCCCTCAACCTAATCAGAAAGATTGGAAAGAAGGGTGCCACACTAGTCAGATTACAGAGTCCATAAAAGGTTTATTATTTAAAATTCAGTTGGTTCAATAAAACTACCAACATGTTTTGGGGGTAAAACACATCTTCCTTCTTTAGGCTTAAAACAATGCAGTATACTCAGAACAGTGATGACCAGAAAAGCCTTTATATTTTAAGAAATAGATTGTCCCCTGGGGGGTATGAGCAGTTAAAAGCGGTAAAGGTTTAATAGATATATTTAAGGGCAAATATATCTATATTATGTTTATACCAATTGATGGGTGAACTATCAACCCCCAAGGTTTTGTGGGAGGGAAACACATTGATAGCCGAGTTATTTGAAGACTAGGAATCATAACAGAGAAGTGGCCAGATTTTGCCAGGAATCCAATTAGTTTTCCATTTTTTTGTCCTTTGTTCAAAAATGGAAGCAGATTGGTAAAATATCCTCTTCCTAATTAAGTGTACTTCCTGGTGGCTTAATTAATTACGTGTGTGCAGCGATATTTGTCAGTTTCCAAGTGTAGCAGATATGTTATAGTCTTGTTCTGCTTTAGTGGCGAGAGCATGATTAATCCATGACATAGCTCTGTATGTTTTAGAGTGACAGGAATAGACTATGTGATCATTGTATTTTTATTTCCGTATCGGTTAGGAAGAGAGCACTGCACTAATCTGACAATTATATGAAATTGGACTGGAGAGGTCATAGTCTGTCTGGTTGGGGGTCAACAGTTGGGTTAAAATGCCCAATACGGAGAGTAGGATCAAGAAAAGAAAAGTTTATTCTCTATGTGCATAAATATATCTTTGTCTAGATGTGAAGGTTTCTAGATGGCTACAATAATTAAAGGCATGTTATAAAGCTTACAGTGCTGGATAACATAATGACCATTGTATTTAGTAAATACAGTTAAGTATTCAAAAGGTAGACTTTTATGAATTAAGAATAACACCCCTCTTGAGAATGTAACAGATTCCCTCTAAGAAGCTGTGTGAAAATAAATATGAAAGACGTTTCAGAGGTGGGCTACAAAAATAGTAATTCTAAATAATGTGCTCATTGTCTTAATAAAAAATGGAAATCAAGGGAAACTGTTTAAAGTGATACTACAGGCAATCTACAGGCAAGGTACTGTGCATATCTGAGCTGCGACAATGCACAGTCAGGCAACATCACTTTATGTATCGATGTCCAGCTATAGAGAAAACTCCTCTTGCCCCAACTAAAAAAAAAACAGAGACCAAGTTAGTGGTAATGTGAGCCCGGATAACAGAAAAATGGTATTTAAATGGCTGTGTCTCTGATTCTGACATATGAGAGTCACATAGCTATTTAAGATCTGATGTTTGGTCAGTTCAATACATAACACCTATCCAATTACTTTGGGTCAAGATCAAGAAAAATGTATACCTTTTAGACCACCCAGGTATGCTTAAAAAAACCCCAAAAACGTATCACTGCTTAAGGCCAGCAAGAAGAATTACCTGGCATAAAAGTAGTGGTGTACTGGCCCATTGTGCACAGTAGACGTGACCCCGCAAACATTCACATGTCTCATTTAGTTTTATTTTATACGAAATTCAGATGGATCCGAATTTGCGTTAAAGGAACATTCGGATTAATTTGCATTCGGCCTCAAATTCGGAAATTCGAATGCGTCCGAATTCAATGAAATTCGTACGAATATCCATTTGGAATTAAACTAAATTTTTGCATGTCTACTGCAGAGTTCCTTGCACAGGCATCATCATCTACAATACTAAAAAGTACATTTGGGGAGACGAGGGAAGTATTTGAACAGCTTGCCAACTGCTAAGCATGAATGTGAATGTCTTATGCTTTAGAGTTATGTTGGAGCCGGTGGCCAAGAAAATACTATGGGGTAGAGGAAAAATCGTTTTTTCAAAATAGCAACAAATGACCCACAGTAAGTGAAAAAAACTGAACCTGAAAAGACAGAGGATATTACAAGTAAACAGTGATATGAAACCTTCCTCAAATTTATGATGCCAAGAAACAAAAGATTAAAGTTCTTTAATGGCCTTCACAGTCTCAGGATTTGTATAAAGTTCAGAATGTGTGGCTACATTTTAAACACAAGAAAATATTGAAATATGTGATCTTGATTTTCTGGTCTAAAACAATGATGCAGTTTCTGAGGGTGAGCCATGCCTGAAAGTGAGCTTAAAAGTGTGGACATCCATTGAGAGTATCCAAAGCTCACTGGTGTGGGTAACCAGGGCTGAGCACCAAAACCAGATCATGGAACAGAGATTTAGTCGAGAACACAGCCAAAGTCTTGCCAGGTGGGGTTCTAGTGAGGTCAGGACAAGTGGTCAATTCCAGAGAGTCCAACAGGTCAGGGTTAGGAGTTAGCAGGATCAGCAAGATCAGGTATAGAAAGATAGCATCTAGTCTAGGTATGCTTAGAGCAGGCAGGAACCAGATAGCAAATGAGCAGGCTGCCATTGACCACCAAGTAACTAGCTGGGAGAACACACCACGAGTAGATATACCGTATATTAAGCAATGACTGATGGGGTGCCCAACATTTGCATTAATCACATTTTTTTAACTTGCTAAATTCAGCAAATAAGAAAAGCTGTGCATTCACCTTTACAGACACATGTAAGGCCCCATTCCTGGAGACACTTCCATGACAAGTCTGGAGGGCCATGGGTAAAATGAAAGGGGACACATTACACAGCGTTATATTTGGAGAGAACATGCAAACAAACAAGAGTCTCTTTAGAGCTTTCTATGGTACAGGAAATCATTGGGGGATACACTGTCCTTGCTTTGTGTTTTCCTCAGGATTCCGGATGTCTAATGAGGCATCACATGGCATGACTAAGTCTCTTTACACAGAGGAAAGTGTTACTCCAACAATATCCTCTGCAGAATGACGTTTACCACCAGGCAGCTAGTTCCTCCAGCGGTCACTGGAAGGATAGACAGGGGATGGGGCAGGCACAGCTGGCTCTGGCTCAAGAGAGGTAGAGCCAGCTGTCAATAAGACAGTGGAATGGATCCCGACAATATTGTTGGGATCTTTTCAGGCTGCAGTGTGGCTCTGCACTGTCACAAATAGTGGGCAGTAGCCTGTTAGATGCTGATTTTGTGTCACAGCAGTATATTAGTAAATGTACTCCTTTGATCTAAAAGAGGACTAATTCCAAAAAAAGGTTTTAAACATAGTTAAAGATTTTTTAATGACTATTCAAGTGCTTTATTATTTTTTTTGTGTGACTGGAGTTCAGCTTTGAGTATCCACTACAGCTCAACAATTGTACCTTTGCAAAAAAATAGACAGCTCTTAGCTGGTGGTGGTACTTTCTTTAAATAGACAGTCTGCAAACTCAGGGACACGGGTGGGGACATTTGAAAATAATTGTGGCTCATTAGTCAGGCGCCAGTTCCATCCTAAGCTCACAGCTGTGCTTGTTCACCATGTAAATTAGTGGAAGATTGATTTGGTTTTATTAGATTAGTGGTGCCTAATGAATAGGGAGTGTTGCTAATTAATCTTTAGTGTTGTGGGCAGTGGTTATCCTTCCATATGATAAAATAAGGCCAATTTAATGAAAAATATAAAGGTAATCTTTACCAGCCCCTTAAGAAGTATAGGCAGACTCATGTGTAGAAACAGCTGGCTGGGACATGTGTGTGTTTCCACATTAAGTTCACTCAGTTTATGAAGCTACTATTAACTACAAAATCACATGATAATCCTCTTGCAAAATGTGTAATCTGCAAACAGCCTTGTTCTGGGAGGATGCAGAAGGAAAATAAAAGATAAGGAGCTGAGAGAGCGGAATGGACTTTACAAAGACTGATAACACAGAGATGGTGAAATGTGTGTGTGTCTGTGTGTGCATTCACATATACAGTTAATGCACAAGTTCGAGGTTCTTGAGGGTTGAGTGGTAAGCAAGCAATTTCTCTTTGATGCTCATTGTTAATGGGTTACTTGGTCTAACTAGATGTTCAAATTTCTTTCTATTAGTAAAACATTCATGACTATGATGTTGTTATGCTTACGATTAGAGGTGCACCGAAATGGAAATTTCAAAACCAAAACGAAACCAAAATAAAAAAATTGTCAGGCCGAAACGAAAATGTTTTTTATTTAAATTTTTCCAAATTTTTTGAATATTTTATTTTAATTTATTTTTATTATTAATTCAATTTTTTATTAAATATTTGTATTTTTTACTTTACTTTTAGGGGCTTCGGGGAAATATTGGGGATCTAAATAGACCCGTGATATCTCACTTTTAAAATAGAAAAAGAGATTGAGGCCAGAAAGTCCTAAATCTCTTTTTCTGACGCCCCAGTTATCAATGAACAGGAAATCTCTGAGTGTTCCTGTTCATTCATTACATGAGGACAGAGTATGTTTACTATAACTACAATCAGGAATGAACAGGAGGTGATGTAGATCACCTCTTTTCTGACAGCTGTTACAGGAGGCTGGGCGGGGCAGTGCAGGAAGGAGAGCTCAGCCTCCTGCGACTGCACAGCCTGTCTCCGCCCCCACACCGCTCTGCCGAACTATGATAGGAGCCTGGGCAGTGTGGGAGGAGAGACGCCGGCCACTCACTGTGCTCTCCTCCAGCAGCGCTCGGCCGTCTGTGACACTTTCTCTCCTGCCCAAAAGTGCCATTTTCGGCCGATATGTTTCGGCGGCTGATATATCGGTGCATCCCTACTTACGATACATAACCAGCAGTAATGGGTAGACTATATTACTGTCTGGTGTAGACTGGCATCTTTATAATAAATAGCAATAGTGTGCCCATTCCAGAATGGGCAAAGTTAGGGATATTACAATGTTGAAGAAGTTGGGGAACCAGATGCTGTGTGCTACGTGAGTACACATACACATGAAGAATCATTATCCTTTACTCCTCAAGTACTGTGTTAAGTGGACAATACAGCACACCTATTACCTAAAGCAATAAGAAACACAGCAAGTCAGTTGTACTCACTGAAAAACAGCAATGTTGTGGGGAGGGTAAAACCTCTCACCATTGTCAGCATTATGATACTATACAGCCTCTGGGGCCATGTAGTGAAGTTTTGAAGTGTGCAGCCAGTTACACCAGCTAGAGTAGGTGGCAGTAGATGGTTATTACAGCAGCTTAGTGAGGTGTTTGGTATGGAGGATGTTGTGAGTTGGTTCACCTTTTCATTATTTATGAAAAGGAGAAATTACCCTTTAAAAAGCAGCACCATTTTCCACCAAGCACCAGAGATAAGAATAGATGGAATGTAAACAGGTTAAGCTAGAGTTCTTCTTTAGCAATTAAACAAAATCACTGCCAACTAGCATCTCTATGGGGGTACATCAACCCTTCTGTATTAACTGTGATATAATGGGTGCCAGCATGGCTGCCAGCCAAGTGTCTTCCCTACCTTTCTATTCTCTGGTGGCATAAACATGCAGCATCTGAAAAAACAGCTTGTGGCACTTGCCTACATACCCATATGCCCTTTAATATCTATATGCTTGTCTATAAGCCACTGCCTTTCGCAGTGTCATGTCAAATAAAGCCCAAATGTGTCGGATTTCTAAATTAGAGAGTATCTTCCAGAACCACTAACTATTCTAAATTGTGGTAGTCTATTTAGTTCTTAATAGAACAGTTATGCTCATATTAGACCCCAAGTACATCGGTTTTAGGCACAGAGCTGTTATCAAAAACCTGTAGCTTCTACATATTTGTCCCACTTGTTGATTATTTCTTGATTATTTGAAAGATGAAATGTGTTTAAATAGCCTTTTTTTCTGAAAGTACTAACTTAAGAAGCAGGGGGCACATTAGCTATATACTATTAAAGAGGACATATTAGTGATGTTCAGATAACAAGTACCCTACATGGTACAAGTACTGATACTTTTCCAGCTCCATTGAAAGACTAGACTAGAAAAAAACTTGCGGCTGTCATTTTTAGCCCTGGTTCACACTTAGACGGCACCGTTTTTGCGCGTTGGTATACCTGTTAGCAGCATGCGGTCATTTGCGTGTTTATGTGCGTTGTGCATATTTTTATGCACGTTTTAATATTTGAAGCCGCGAGTTTTGATTGGCCATTGCCCACATAAATCATTGTGGGCAATGGGAAAGCGCACATATAAACGTGCAAAACGCTCACGAAAACATCCTTCTGTTGGAATTTTTTTGGCATTTACAATGAAGTCTATGAGGAGGAAACGCGCGTTTAACTGCCCAAAGAAGCTCCTGTATCTTTTCAGACGTCTGGCGTTTTCCTGCTAGGCGTTTTTCTGCTCAGGTGTGAACCAGGGCCATTGAAAATCCCATGATTTCTTGTGTTGGGCAGTTAAAAGCGCTTTTCGAACTGCGCAAAAGTGCCTAGGTGTGAACCAGGCCTTAAGGAGCATTGGCTACGGGGCTCCTGGGATTTGTGCATCCCTGTTTTAATATATGATTTATATATATAATCACAAAAGCGAAATAAATATATTTTCAAATCAAATTTTCTTTTCCATTCCGTTTAACATGTAAATGACTGAGCTGTATACATCTCCATTGCCTATATGTTTTCTGATTACTGCTGCATAGGGGATGAACTTAAGAGGTTAATACACTTTTATATGAATGGGAGATGAGCACTGCTGATCTTTAGCATGTCTTGTTAAAACTAGGTCACAACACGTTGCACGTTGAAGACTGTGAGGATAAAACTGATCGCATGGCAGAATGAATTACTGTATAAAAATAGACCTGTAAATAACTTACCTTTGGCACAAAAACTAGACAGAGCGTAATCGTACTGCAGAATATGATGACTAGAGCCACAATACAGAACTGGACGTTTGGCTGGTCTTTGGTGAGGAAAGAGACAGCGGCTCCTATAATGCACATTATGCCTACGTTGTATACACTCATTCCAATGTACTTGCTGTCATTCAGTGCTGGTATGCTGACATTTCGCGTTTCCCATGCCAAGAAGCAACCAAATAACTTGTGGAAATAAAACAGACAAAAAAAATAATCAATATTTGTGTAAAGATTTTAAAAACTTGAATATATAAACACAATACATGCCATAACATGCTTTATCTCTGTGGCAAAGAGAAAAATCTATCCATGATGAGGGTCTAGATTAGAACATTGTCTCAACCATTTAGAAGAATACTGCGTTTTGTTTGTTAGATTTACATGAATGAAGTCATCATTCTGCTTTCTTTTCATATCAGCTAGCTCCCAGTGTTAAACTGACAGCACCGTACAAGGCATTCAAGTTTGATTGGCTTACAGTGCAGTGCCTCCCGTTCCACTATTTGTACAGGGGACTTCATGAAGCTAATATAAGACAGATTCTGATGTTTATCATATCAATATTAAAAACTCATGAACAGGAAGTGATGTAAATCACTTCCTGTTCATAACCAGGGACATGTAGTACTTTGTCAAACTAGAAAAAGATGGTAAGCGCATACATTTATAGCCAGCCTTTGTAGCAGGGTGCACATGGGAAGGCTTACAACAATACTAAACACAAAAAGTCACCAGCACACCTGCCAGCTAGCCTGCAACAAAACAAATTACCCTGTCTAACAGTATGCGTTAAAAGCAGAGGTTTTAGTTGCACAAACCTTTGGCCAAAAATATGTAGAAGCCACACCGCCCCGTCAAGGCACCTCTGTAACGTGTGGTCCTAACTCTATTTATATGAGTCTACAAGTGGGAGCATATTAGTGCAGTCGATATATTAAATGCAGGTGTACCAGGAGGTAGCCTACTCCTCCTCACAAGGTGCAGGGACGCACTGGAGGCCCAGCAACCAAAAATGCACACCGGGACCCCCAGTGCGCCCCTACATCCAAAATAGTCAAACTAGAAAAGAAGGGCAGCGAAAGTGTAAGCAAAACTCATGGGTGCAGAGTAACAAATACAATTTCAATTTACATAGTAATTGAGGTTGATCTTGTTTTTAAGGCGACCTGGGCAATAAACTTAAGGTGGATAACCAGGCAGCTCTGTAAAATATATTTTTTTTAATCTGCTATACTCACCTGATCTCTGGTGCTGTTTCTGTTTTTTTCCATGCTGACTAACCATTACAGCAATGCTGCTTCTATTCCAGGTTGAGTGTCATTCAACTAACATCCTAATGCCTAGGGCATTGAGACTCTTGCGCTGTTTTTTGTGGCATTTAGGATCTGGCCACAGCCAGAGGAAGAAAGGGAAGAACATCACCAGACTAGACCCAAGATCTCTGAAAAAAAAGCTGAATGTGGTGTAATTTTTTTATTGTTTAAGGATAGCTCCAAGG